CCTGACGAGCAAGCTTGTGGCATGTTTGCGACCGCCTCACAATCAGTAGGAAACTGGCTAAACTCCCGGACGCGCGCACCATCAATATTTCCGTGGTCACAATACCACCGACGAATAATGCCTCTCTACCCCTATACATTGAAACGGCGTGGCACTTCGCCTCCAACAGGACATCCCGGCCGAGAAGACCATCAGTCCGACCAAGCTCCCGGCGAGTGGTACCTGGCTAGGGAACATCCAACCCCTACCAGAAACACTCATTCGCTGCCCATGGCTATAATAATGTTATCAAGCAGGTGCCACTTGCAAGCCACGGCGGCCTGTGAAACCCATCGGCGTCCCCAGGAGCAGATCCCTCATCCTGATGCCCATTGACTCTTTTTTAGGCGCAACATATCTCTTACAACGGGGGCCTTTCAGTCGTCAGCACTGCCCAACCGATGATCTATGGATGCCTTCCGGGGAACCTGAACGTCCCGTTTATTGGCTTTGGAGGCAAAGTCGCCGGAGAAGAAAATGGAAGTTGTCCAAAAGCTCAACCACACTGGCTTATCCTTTGCCGATAAGGAACTCGCGGAAAGGCAATGCACCTCCAATACGGCATTCTGGCATTCTCGTTGTCAATCACAACCCTGGCCCGCGGACGGCCGGTCGCTTCTTCCGTCCGTCGCATCGACCGAGTCCACGCCTAGCACACCATCCGCCGAGTAGAGAGAGCCGATAACCACTGCCATTTGCCAAGCACTCTCCATGACACCAGTCAGTTCTCACTCTCACCACCTCAACACGAGGTCGTCGCCAGCATATTCCACCACCGCCTTCCTCTACTTGTTCACCGCCATGCCGCCATTAATGCTGTACACCTCTTCCGGCGTAGCAGGTCCTGCATGCGATTTGTGAGATGGCAACGGTACGGGTACATGGTACGCTCATCTCCCAACCCGGACGCCAAGTATCCCTCCGGGCCTCCAGTACGAATACCCCAGCCGCGCGGAACAATGTCCAGATCTGCCAGATAGGCAACGCAAAATGATGGCAAATGCAGCAATCCGACTCAACCCGCTGTCTGCCAAGACCACACCCATTTGTTTCTGATTCATTCGCCCATGCGGCCCACGTGAAGGACTTGGTAGGTTGCAATCGAAAGATCCTATCCGGCCGCATAGATGGGCCTAGAAGCAAAACCAAACAATGTATTGATGTTGTCGGGCCTCCTACCCTCTGTCGTCGACTGCAAACGGGAGAAAGGGGGTGACATATTGGCGACTCGAGTATCACCTCTACCCGTACTCAAATTTTTGACCTTTTCTTGAGTTCTCGTTACAGCCGTAACTAGATCAGACTTTGATCGATCGATATCATAAATATACCCCGGACATGACGCTCACCAAAAATAGCTATGCACCCATGGACTCCAAAGTCCAATCTCGTTTTACGAACCGTTTTCGACCGTCACAACTAATGCTGCATTTACGTTCTTGTTTGCCATTTACCCATCATCAACCTTTAGTAAAACGTGAACAGGCAAAAAGAAAAAGGAAAAGAGAGGGAAAAATGAGAAAACCAAAGAAGAAGAGGAAGAGGGGTCACTTGTGAAATTGGACCGACTGCAGCCAGATAGACTTGCAAACTCAGAATTAGGGGTATTGACCATCTCAAGCTTCTGGGCGAGGTTCCCTTGACTGCTAGAAAGAACAGATGAGAGTGGAAACCAGATTGTCGCCCGATGACATCGACAGTTATCGCCTGCTGAATATTTGTCTGCGTACTACTAGAGACACTACTCACGAGATGTACATAAAATAGGCACAACTCTTGGGCAGTGTACTTGTTATCGAATAATATTGTATCAAGTGCAGATCTAGGTGATCTTTCCCACTGCATCCAGTCTTACGCCTCCACGACGTGTTTGTGTGTGTGTGTGTGTGTGTGTGTGTGTGTGTGTGTCTATAATACAACGAAGCGGCTTCAAATTCGCCATTTGCCTTTCCCAAATTCCCCATCCACAGACGCCGTAAACCCGTTCATGATTGCAATCTATCGCTTGGCCTTCTCCCTCTGAATCTTCTTGAAGAAGGCACTGCTCTCTCCCTTTGCCTTCTTAAGCTTGACTCTCTTGTTTTGCTCCATGTAGGCCATGTCCTGTCCACCCGACAGGTCGCCCAATAGACCAGCCGTCCTCCTCGCGGCGGCCTTCTTCCTGCCCCTGGCCGGCGCGCGACCCATCGTGCCGCTGTGGAACAGGTCGTCAATGACCTCGTCTTCGCCGCCGGCCTCGTTCTCGATGAGGACTTTTTGCAAGAGCTCTCGTCTCTCGCTCGCCGCGGCGTAGGCGAGGCCCGGCGTCTTCTCAATGTTGGCGAGCTGCGTAATGACCTTGAAGGCGTATCCCTGATCGACCAGGAACGCTTGTCTCTTGGAGGAGTAGTACATCTCCTGGGTATCCTTCGACACCAGGGAATAGAAGAAGGCGTTGAAACCCTCGTCGTTTCTCCTCTTGGCTCGCAGGATCCGGCCGAGTCGCTGCGCTTCCTGACGACGAGAACCGTAGTGTGACGAGATCTGAATGAGACAGGTAGCCTCGGGAAGATCGAGAGACGTGTCACCAATCTTGGACAAGAATAGCGTATTGACTTGAGGGTTGTGCTGGAAGTTTTGCAGAATGTTCATGCGCTCTGCCTGTCCCGTGCCGCCGAAAATGTAGGCCTTCTCCAGCTTTTCAGCATATGTCTTCAAAGCGTAGACGTTGTCCGAAAAGACAATGATCTTGTCGCCGCGAGATTCGTGGTAGTTGATGAGGTACTGAGCGGCCTGGAACTTTCTCGGGTTCATAATGTACAGCAGCGCTCGTTTTCTGGCCGACGCTTTCAGGTACTCATCGTAGAATTCCGTAGTCATGGGGCACCAGACCTCAGCGCACTGAACCTTGGCGATGTGGCCTTGTTCACTGAGTTCCATCCAGTTCGCCTCGTATAACTTAGGGCCAATCAAGAAGTTCAGATCTGAAATCTTGTCATCTTCACGAAGCAATGTGGCGGTCAAGCCAAGCTTCGAATGCGTCTTGATGGACGAGGTAACCTTTCTGAAGATATTGGCGGGGACAACGTGAACCTCGTCCAGAAGCATCAGACCCCATTCTCGCGTCTGCAAAAAGTCCATCATCTTCTTGGCCTCGTGGGAACGCTCCCTGGTTTGCGTTACCATGGAGTATGTGGTCACAATGATACCGGTGTTACCCGGGAAGATTCTGCCCTTGTTGTCTGACGTGAATGCTTCGATATCCTCTGGCTTGATGTTGGACCACTTGAGGAATTCGTTTCGCCATTGCACGACAGACATGGAACTGGTGCAGAGGACGATGACGCCCTTCTTGACGGTGCAAGCTGCCGTGATACCGACGAGCGTTTTTCCAGCACCGCAAGGAAGGACGATGAGACCGCTCTTGGCTCGTCCGTTACCAAACATCTTACTCAGACTCTTTTCTTGGTAAGGTCGAATCAAGGTGCCCGGGCGCAAGTCGATTTCCAGGTTCGGGTTGGCCTCATCTCGTCGGAAATCGTACTCCTCCAACACCGGGTACTCCAGTTCAAGGCACCTCTTCTGAACGGTCTCGACTGCCTCGTCCCCGATTTCAAAGGCATGCGTAATCTCCTGATCGTCGTCGTCGTCATCATTCAATGCCGCGTAGACCTCGCCCTCCTTTACTTCACCCTCGCGTCCCTTGGCCTTTTGTTCTTCTGCCTGTCGCACACCAGCCGCGTTGGCAGTACCTGGAATGACCAGGGGTCCCTGTTTCGGAGCTGCTATTGTGGTGATCTCCTCCGTGCCGTGTACTCGCAAAGGCCCGATGACAGAGTCTTTCAATAGCTTCTGTAAGATGACCGGATCCGTACTTTCGACAAAGTATTTCGTATTCTTAAGCACCAGCTTGACCTTGCCGAAACTCTGCGTGCAGCCCTCGATGAATTTGCGGATACTGTCGGGTAAAGGCATCTTCAGGAACCGATCGAGAGTGTTGATGATATCCTGGGGCGACAAGCCCACAGAGACCGCAGCGTACAAGCTGTGTGTCGTGAGCGCATATTCGTGGACAAAGGACGGTCGGGAGATTGGCTCGGCAATGGTGATGAGGAAGTCCTGTGCTTGCTCGGCCAGCGGGTTGAAGCTTTCGAGGAAAATACGGCCTTTGGCAGGGTCGATCCAGAGCGGTCGATTCTGATAATCGGGTTTCAGCTGGAGGAAGGAGAAGTCGCGCTTCTTCTTGAAGAGTCCGGTCATGGATTCGTGGCCATTTGTCTTGGGCCTGTCCAGGTACGCCTCGACGGAGAACTTGTCGACGTTCTTCTCGAGATTCTCGTCTTCCGACTCGCTCACGGGATCCGCTACCGATTCATTATCGCTGGCGATACTCCTGGGAGTGGCGCCTCCAGGTGTTGAAGCTACAGAGCCCTTTCCTGCCTTGAAGCTGCCGGTGGCGACCCCTTGAGCCTTCCTCTTCGGTGGCATCGTGACAGGATTGCGGGCTGTTGGAGGAGAGATAGGAGATGGATGGTTGTGAAGTCAGAAAACCTAAGAAATGGATGGATGGATGATGTAGCCTGCAGGGCACGCATCGGGGAAAGGTAAGCAACTCTAGGCGTCGGCGTTAAAGAGGTACCCAAGGTTTCGCAGGCAAAGGGTACGGCCTACAGGGGTTGGCACCTTTTGTCACTGGCCGGCACCTTAGGTGGAGACCACTACAGAGCGACTTCGCGGGGTGCAAGGTGTAGGGTAGGTACCGGGAGGGAAGACTTGGGCGACAAATACAGACCCCGCCAAATTTATCAGCAACGCCAAATCTGTGATAGAAGATTCTCCCCATTGCCTCGACTTGCCGACTCACAGCGGCGACACGTTCGATTTGACCAGTTGACCGCGTGCCCTACGTCTATCTAACTTTAGCTTGCGCACCTGCCGCCACAACGGAATCCATTGCTTTTTACCGCGAAATTTAACCTACCATGTGGTGAGCCACGCGAGAACCCACAACCCCTGACCGACAGCTAATATATCACCACAGCAAACACATCCTCAACGCGCAAGTCGCAATCAGGTCACCCTGCTGTGCGCCGAACCCCCTCTGTACCCCAGCCCAAGCTACGTCCGACTAATGTGATGGCCTCCCAGGCAAAAAATGGTTCGACTGCGCCGAGTGTCACCATGAGCAGGAAAAGCACCCCCTGCTCCAGAGCATCGAAATGGTCTTTGCTTGCAAGAAGTGCAAAAAGTGCTTCCGCAAAGACGCCCAGGAATTCGAAGACGCTGACGAATACTGCCCGCACTGCGACAACCACTTCGTCATTGAGGCAAAGACACCCAAGGCAGCCATCTCCGTCGAGGGCGAGGACGCCCGCAAGGACAGCCGTATGATCAAGGACGAGCGTGTCCGTCAAATTGCCGGACGCTCAATATTTGACCCAACCGACGATGCGGACAAGCTGGGCTAAACTGGGGGAGGTTAGCTGGTTTAAAGAGCATCAGTGTGGCAGCAAGCGATTTTATGGACACCGTTTTTGTAGATTTTCCACGGTCTAAAGGTGGTAATACATTGGTATTTGGTCAGATACCCTCATGAGTGTCGTCTATCCGCGAACCGCAACGCCTAGTCATTCCCTTACTCATCACCGTCACCCGAACCCGAGCCTCTCGTGAGGATCGCCGCGCTTCCGGTGCCGGGTGTGCGTCCAGTCTTCTTCTTGGCCGCCTCCTCTTGCTTCTCTTGCTCGATACTCTTGACGTGGTTCTCAATCTCCTCCACGGGCAGCATCTCGATCGTCTTGCCCGGTGCCATCAGCGCGATCTCAATGTTCTTGGCTCCGGTCTGGACAACCTCAAGAAGAGACTTGATGGCGAGTCGGATGGTAGCCTCTCTGTCCATATCCTCCTTGTAGTTGCGCTCGAGGAACTCGCGAACGGTCTTGCTGGAACGGCCGATGGCGTTGGCTTTCCTGCAAGGTGTTAGCAGATGCACCGCATCGCATTGTATGGAATCGTTGCTCGTACCATGCGGAGAAGATGCCAGAAGGCTCGGTCTGGTAGAGGCGGGGGACCTTGCTGCCGCTGTCGAAGCCGACAATCAAGGTGCTGATGCCAAAGGGCCGGACACCACCACTCTGTGTGTACCGTTGCTGGACACCAGCAACGTACTTGGTCATGTACTCGATGGAGGCGGGGTCTTCGACGGTCAGTCTGTGGGACTGTGCCTCTAACCGCGCCTTGTCGACGAGGATACGAGCATCGGCGTTCAAGCCGGCGAATGCCAGGCAGACGTGGGTGTCGAGGAGCTGAATCTTGGAGGGGGTAATTCGGGTATCTTGCAGCTTCATGGCTGATCGCTTTTCGCATCCGAGGACGACGACATCTGTACCCTTGACGCCGACCGCACACGTTCCTATGCCAATGGTTAGCTGGTTCCGCCCTTGATTGCGGCGGGCAAGCGGCATTACCTCTCTTGACAGCTTCGCCAGCATACTCGACCTGGAAAACGTGTCCATCAGGACTGACGGTGTTAGTTGGGAGTCATTAATTGTTTCCGGGGCAGGGGCAACCGTGACGAACCTGAAGACTGTTTGCAGGCGTATGTTAGCTTGGTACAGTGGAGCTGGGGGGCAACAAGGAGGGGGCCCTTACCGGACAACGCTCTGTCGTATCCTGAAGCCATGGTGACTGACTGATTGAGGGACGGATTGTCGGAGATGTGTGTGGTGGTATATGGATTGACGATTTGCTTGGATGTTGTGGGACAATCGTCGTGATTGAAGAGGTGCGGTCGGTAGAGGGTGGATGGAGTAGTGAGGTAAGGTAAGGTTGAGAGAGGTAGGCTGCAGGTCTGACGAAGCTTCGGCGCCTGCTGGCATGGGAAAGGCTGAAAAGCTCCAGGAGCTCCTGCACGGCCGGGGAAAGTCCGGGTAATGGTCACTCAAGCTTGGAGGTCTGTGCGCTTATCCGTCCATGAAATTAAGCACTAATTAACGTTCACGTTGTAAATGAGCACCCGCTGAATTATAAGCTTCCGTCCGCAACGTTTTACTCATTCACGAACCACAAATTAGAAGGGTTATAATATTCTTTTGATAGCTCTAAATTCCACTGAAGATCGATTTCTATAATACACCTTTTGTTTTTTTTTTTATCATTAACATTAACAATACATGGCCGGATATGGATACACCCAATACCTGAGAGCGTACGTCAACTATCCAGCGCTCTCGACTTTGATTCTCTCAGAAATGCAATGCGTCTGCGTCAATCCATAACTTCCACCATGTTTTCGCCGAAATTTTTACTCTCCTTTCCAATCGCCAGGCAGACTGAGCGAGTAGCCAGCTGGCTCAAAACCTGGCAATGTCGACCCACGATCTGCTCTGCAGAACGTTGGCAATATCGTGCCCTTTGGAGGTCAAACGCAACCTGAAGTTCTCGCACCACATGATCTCGAGCTCGCCATCTCTTGAGGACGCATTGATCTCGCGGTAGAACTCCATGGCCACGGCTAGTGGTGCAAGCAGCATGTCCGGCTGAACTGTCGTCGACAACGCAAAGTCAAGCGCCCTGCAGATTCTTGACGCAAACTCCCGCCGCTGTTGGTACCTGGCCAGGTTGATCTGGAGATTTGGAGGCAGATCCGGAAACATGTTGGGAAAGTCCTCGATGACAGGCTGGAAGACGGTGTGGTGCAGGCACTCGATGCAGCGGTGAAGGAGCAGCAGTGTCATCCAGTGATACAAGAACATGACGGACGACACACCGTCCTTGAAGGCAAAGTTGTCTGCAAAGGGTAGCTGCTGCGCATCTGGGTCATCCGGCTCTTCTATCCAGTACGCATACGGGTGCTCGGCAGTAGGTGCGCGAGCGTATGACTCCCACTCCTCCAGCCTCCGTTCGATCTCCAAGCAGCTCTCGAGTAGTTCCTGTGCCTTTAACCGACGCTGCAAGGTTGCAGCAAAGGGTACCGTTCGGTCGACGCGAGAGAAGATGCCAGGCAACCCGGCGATGATGTCAAAGAGCCTGTCGAGAAACGTCTTGGGGTGCCGTTCCCACGGTGTAGTGCACCAATCGAACGAGGAAAGAAACGTCGTCTTTCGGTGTAAGAGAGCGAGTATGATCTTACCACCTGGTCAGCCTTTTGGTCCATCTGCGGGGTCAACGACGCGTATCTTACAGCATTACACCTATACACCCTGACGAAATAGTGATGGGCTGGAAATTGACGAAACTGTTCCGGGCCAAGCTTCTTGACGACGTCCATATGCTCTTGGGGGACACTCCAGGGAGTCATGCCGTTGGTCACCAAAAAGGATGGATTTTGCTATGAGGATAGTCAGCACATGCTCTTCCACAACGACCAGCTGGTATCCGACCTCGAACAAAAAGACGCAAAGACCTTCTGGGGCTCCGTTATCGTTCCCCGATGGCAGCAGACTGACCATGTTCTGCGCATTCAGGTCCATATTGCCGCCATTATCCCATGTTTCCATATCAACTGGTGAGTATGGCGGAAGGGCCATCCGGAACTTTACTTGGCTTTGCCCTTCGGGTCCCCTGAGGATGTTCTGGAACTTGGTGTGCAACGCCGCGATCTGTATCGAGTACACGACACCGTTGTCGGATACGGAGACCAAATCATCCCACGCCGGCATCAACGGTTCTGTCGGTAGCAAGCGAGGAACCTCGTCTTCCACGGTTTGACTTCTCCTAGAACTCCTCGAAGAAGACGGCTGGACTTGGCGAGGCGGATGTGATGAGCAGCGGCCGGCGTCGTCTATGGTTGCGGTGATGAAGACCATTTCTCGTTCGTAGCCAGCACACTCGCGGCCGCTATCGATACATTTGCGGCAGTGTGGCCGTTCGTTATCGCACTAACCGTTGACATGTCAGCCCGCGGGACGCGTTTTTTTTGTTTGCTGTCGAAACGCCTTTAGAGTGCTTACCTTGACTCTTCGAGCCCTGCATGTCTCGCATCCCTTGTACTTGCCGCGGACTCCAACCATTTTGATAACTCGGACGTTTTGATGAGAGAGAGGTTATTGAGAAAAAAGAATGGCCATAACCGACGATATTCTCTCGTCAGGACGGACAGGGGAGAACAAGTACTGGACGGTCGATATATATCACATTGGGGAGCCGCAAGGGGGGAAGCAGGCATCAAACGGCCCCCAAGACTGAGAAGAGGGCGCGGATCAGTGAGCTTCTTACGTTGGCCACTGCCGGAGAGGCTGTGGGACCCATGGTAGGCCATACACTTGGCTTCACACAAGCCCCCCTCGCGGGAGCCAGTTGATGGTGTGATGCAGCCTTACTACCGAAGGTGGACCGCGACAACGTATGAGACGGGACCAAGGGCGCGGGAATCACACATGGTTTGGTTCGCCCCAGGACGAATAAGACGACTGCGGCTGCGGTATGCAGTCAGGCGGCCCCGAGACGATCAACGAATGCGATGCCCGTTCTTGTCGTGGTCTCAGGCATGGTGCGGGTAGATTGCGCCGGGCGAGTTGCAGCCGAGATGCGATGCGAAGTTCCCAGTGACCTATGGTCAAAGGGTAAATTGGGGTTGAAGCAAAGGTGATGAGGCCATCTTTGCTCGTTTCCCCTTACACGAGGAGTGGAATCTAACCGATATCTTGGACATTCCTTTTTGCAAAACCCAAACCTTGGAAGACAAGGCCACGAACGCAAATCAGTGGGCGAGACAGGCTAGAAGAGGAAAGTGAGCGTGATTTAGCACCGATTGTGTGCATTCGTATGTGTGAGATGCTCCGAGATGCCTCGGCCATTCAGAAGAGATCGTTGCACCCTGTCAATGACTGTCAATGACTGTCAATGACAAGGACACCGCACCAGGGGAGTAAGTACACGCAGAGACAGGCAGAGTGACGGAGAGAGAGACCATTGATCGGTGCTAATCAAAAGTGTAAACAAGATTGATGTCAACCGTCTCTGATCCCTCCGTCTCAGTCCGATGAGACTACCTACGGGTAGATGAGAGCATTGTCCCCCGCGCGGATGAGTGCACGTTCCAGGCAAGGCCCCGTAGGGCTGCATGCCGTAGCAGACCGAATAGACAGGGGTTGGGCTCGGAGGTGCGACTTGCGACTTGCGACTTGCTCGAAAGAGAGCCCCACCCTCGGCTGGCGGAGCAGACTGCAGGACGGGATGCTCTGGACGGTATGATTGGTTGGTGCCGAGGCTGACGTCGGTGCGGCCGTTCCCCAAGTGCCTCGTCAAAGTAAAGCAACAAATGAGAGCGCAGCACAGCGAACAGCAGCCTTCAGTAGGGGGTGAGATTGTCGGTGCCCCAAGGGCCGCCAGCACCTGTCACCACTCACCGTCAGCCAAACGGCGCACGGAAAGCCCGGTCGGTCCAGGGGGCCGCCGAGAGACATACACCAGGTTAAGGTAGTCGAGCAGGGGTACATATTGCACTACTGTCTGCGGATTACATTACCGATATACAATTGGGAGTCACTTACCAAGCAAATTGAGGACTCAAGCGAACCACCACCCCAGAGACCCCAGAGACCCAGAGACCCAGAGACGGAACCCTCTGACGATCAACCACCGCGACCACCGGACCGGGAGTCGGTGACGACGCCATGTCATTGGAGGGTTGCACCTCGACACCTACCTTTCCAGGATCGGTGGGCTGGGACGTACCTCAGCCAATCGATTCGTTTTCTTGATGATTTCACGAACCTGGTACCGCATATCACCCCATTCGTTTCGTTTTCTTTTCTACCTTGTTCTTGGTGGATTTTCCCAGCCTAATGGTTATTACTGGGCGCTGCACGTCTGGCAGTCTAGCAGTCTAGCAGTCTAGCAGTCTAAGGACCTGGAACCCACCCCATGATAGATGACTTGGAACCGTGAGATCGAGTCACCGGTATCCAAGGCTGCGGGGGCTGACTTGGAAAAACCGGACCGGAGCTCGGAACCTGCGAGAATCCCAACCTATAAAGTGACGAGAACTGCTGGCCGAGGGAAAGGTCCTGGGTATTGCGGCTGAAAAGGCCCAGGGTAGGCTGTTCCTACAACTGACAGATCCTGATTACCCCTTCACACAATATCTGCTGGCTACCGGCTCCTCTTTCGTTCAAAACATCCGATCTGAGATGAGGTATCGGGTCCCTCTTGGCGAGATATTGAGAGGGATCGGAGCAGAGGGAGGCCTACCACGAGACACTGTACACACCGGACCCCCCTCCTCTCCAAAGGGAATTGGCATTGGCTCACATCGGCTACCTTTGATGTGAGAACTCCCGGTTTTCTTTTTGGTATTATAAAGTACAATGATGTGATGATATCCTAACTAGTTTAAACAGAGAAAAAATGCTGTCCTCTCTCCGCACCGCCCACTAGGTGAGACATTCCAGGACAGATCTCAAGATATGTCCGGATTGGGAAGCATGTCTTTCCCTACACAACGAATCTGGTTGGAGGGTTTTACAACTTGTCGTCACGTTTTTTTTTTTACGACAACACAGAAAAAGAGCTCTCGCTTTGATTATTACAAAGCAAGAAAAACTCGGTTGCTCGTATGAATGAGACGGAGGGTGGAAGAGCAAAGACGAGGGAAAACGAGGTTGTGTGGGTGTAGATGAGTGGGATGATGTGGGCAGTGTGATTGCCTAGGTCAGTCACACACACACGCACACTCACTCACTCACACACACACACACACGGAAAAAAAAGTGACCAAAGCCTAGGTGTGTGCCTTTCCAACCCACTTTGCACACAAACCCGATCTTACGCGGGGGGGGGGACGGGGGACTTGAGTCCGGCTATCCTAGGCTATGTTCAAGATTTTACTGCCGCTGTTGCCTCCTCGCTGTCTCTTTCCTATAACTCCGTCCAGAGATGGGGGGGTATCGTAAATCTTGGCGCTTCCTTTAGATGTACTTGTAGGGGTTCATGATGCCGTTCTAATTGGTTCAACGTCAGCATTCCTTCCAGGCGCCAGGCAAACGGGAGAAACCCGGTGATATGGGGGATTCTGTTGCGTATATAGTATGAGATGGAGTAACCCGTTCCCCGGGGGGCCGGTCACGGTGTGGGGTGGGGGGAGGTTGCATGGGGGACGTAAGAGAGAAAAGTGACGCAACGTTGTTGTCGGTGTGAGAGAGAAGCAGACAGGGGGGGAGAGGTAAGAGTGAGATTTTTGATGACTAGATGGGAAGAGGAAAGCAAGCGGGGGAAGAGAGAGAGAAGAAGGAGCAGGCAGCCGTAAGGCAACAGACAGGACAGAACCCAAGGGTAAGACTTACCGGGTCATAGAGATTCTTAATCTGCTTCATGAGGCCGACCATGGTCTCGTTGCGGCTGTAACCGATGAAGTTCTTCTTGGCCACGCCCAGGCCGTGCTCGGCGCTGATGCTGCCGTTGCGCGCCTGGATCCACTCGTAGACGAACGGCTCGAGGACCTTTTCGATGCGCTTGTCGTACCGCCGGACCGCGACGTTGAGGTGTAGGTTCGAGTCGCCCATGTGGCCGTACCCGACGACGCCGATGGCCGGGAACTCGTCCGTGTCGCCCACGAGCCCGGCCTCCTCCATCTTGGCTTTCGTGTCCTCGACGAGCAGGTAGAGGTCCTTGAGGGGGATCGACACGTCGTACTTGTAGGTGCCGCCCCAGTGGCCCAGGCACTCTGGGATGCCCTCGCGCCAGCCCCAGAGCGCCTTGCTCTGCGTCTCGTCCTGCGCGAGCACGCCGTCCGAGACGATGTCGTTGGACATTACGTGCTCCAGGAACCCCTCGAGCTTCTCGTAGTCGTGGTCGCCGTTGGAGCCGGACGTTTCGACGAGGCAGTAGAACGGGTGGGTGTCACCCTCGAGGGGCCGCTTGTTCCCGCGCACGGCGTGGACGAGGTCCTGGCTGCGGCCGTCCATGAGCTCAAAGGCCGAGAGAATCTCGCCGAGCTGTCCCTTTGCGGCTTTGAAGGCCTGCTGGGCCTTTTCGTACGACTCGAGGCCGAAGAAGGCGACGTTGACGGCCTTGGAGCGTTGCGGGCAGATGATGCTGACTTTTGTGATGATGCCAATGGTGCCCTCGCCGCCGATGAACAGCTGCTTGAGGTCGTAGCCCGTGTTGTTCTTGCGCAGCGTGCACAGATCGTCGACGACGGTGCCGTCCGGCAGCACGGCCTCGAGCCCGAGGACGTTGCCGTGCAGGCTGCCGTAGCGGAGCAGGCGTAGCCCTCCGGCGTTGGTGGCGACGTTGCCGCCGACGTGGCAGGAGCCCTTGGCTCCCAAGTCGAGGGGGAAGATGTAGCCCCTCTCGGCGAGGTAGGAGTCGGCGGTCTCGAGGATGACGCCGGCGTCGACGACGAGGGTACCGCTGACGTCGTCAAAGGAGCGGATCTTGTTCATGCGGCTCATGTTGATGACGATCTCGTCAAAGACGGGCACGGAGCCGCCGACGAGACCCGTGTTGCCGCCCTGGGGCACGACGGCGAGCTTCTGCTCGTTGCAGTAGGCCAGGATCTTGCTCACCTCCTCCGTGGAGGCGGGCTTGACGATGAGGCGCGACTCGCCGCGGTACTTGCGCAGCCAGTCCTCGTTGAAGGCGGCCAGGTCGTCGCCGTCGACCACGCCGGAGGGGCCGAGGAGGTCCTTGAAGTAGGCGACGTGGGCGTCCGTCACCGCGGCGAAGCGGGTGTCGCGCTTGATGTCCGGGTAGGCGGCCGAGGTGAGCTTGATTTCCTTGAGACCGCCGCCGTCGGACAGCCTCACGGCCGTCGTCGCGATGCAACGGGTGGTGGCAACGGCGCCGGCCGGGGCCGAGGATTGCCGCAAAACGCGCCGCCCACCGGCGGGCAGGAGGGATTGCCTCCGTGCCGCTGTCCGGAGCAGCGGCTGGATTCTTGATCTAGAGGCCATTGTGTGACTCTGTGTGGGTGGGGAGTTTTGGACGCAAGGAAAGGAGAGGAGGACAAGAGACCAGCCGTGCTAGGATGTGTGAGACTTTGGTCTTTCTTGAATTTTTTTTTTTTTTTTTCGTCAGAAGTTCCGGCGAACTGATGATTTCCAGGTTAGAAAAAAATCCGAGCAGCGACAATTGGATGATAAAACCCCGATTTCGGCTTTAAATCAACTTAAACCCCTGTGGAAATTCCTCTGAAAGGCCAGTGGCTTCGGCGGAATTAGCAACCCAATTGCGTGACGAGTGCTGCTGAGCCGCCTGTAGCTGCAGCACCTTCCCGTCTCTCCACGGGGAAGCAGGCCCGATACTGTCATTCGGCAAGATTGATTTTTTCACCGTCGGCAAACTTTGCATTCCTGCCGAACGTGCTGGTCACCACTTTACCCTCATAACTTACTTACCTTATTTTTCTCGCTCGAATTGCCAGAAAACGACTGCTTTTATGAGAGAATCGGTATCAGAAGCCTCGCAAATGAGAACGTCATGTTAAATGAATAAGAAGTAGACCTTCCCGATCATAAACGTTTGAGACCAAATGTATTCTCATCTCATCTCATCTCACACTCACTGAGACTGTCCGTGCTTAGTCATCACAGCAGCTGCGATACCCACCTCACCCCATGGATGCGTGGATACTTAGTCCATGCCATCTCAATGACGCCGACAACATTGAGGATGTCTGCAAACAGACTGTCATCAATCCCCACGGCCGATTGACACTTATGCTCATCAGCAACAAAACGTAGTCAACTCATCGAGATCGTGTCGGTGCGATACACAAACTGAGCTGCCATCTGGCAACGTCTCCATAGCAACTGTCGAGACACAGTAGCACCAGGTAACAAGGACAATCCTCGCAAGATGACGCTGGCCAGCATTTGCTCTTGCACGTCGAGTTCCGAGAGTACGGGTTGCATGTCTCACACTCACATAATGACGGCGTACTTCGAAGCAGTTTTTCCTAATCCTGAGTCTTTGTCTGGAATACTAGACAACCTGAAGGCCGGGTATCTGAGAGAACACATTGTCGTTCCTTGGAAACCCGCTCATTCAGTAGGAATTGCTTTACGCTAGGTCATGAAGGCATGTCCTCTGGTCTTAGTTCCCAGCCAGTTTGCAAATTCCTCCCAAGCTTGGGACAAAACCTGGCCTCATCATTCTTCATCTCGAGCTGTTGTCTCGGCTAGGGCCGGGAAGGTGTCGCAATGTGAGCCATGGCCGGGACGCACACCAAAAGGGACCACTTGATCAGATTTGGGAACTCTCCTGTCTTGCATCTGGTCTGCGAGGGGTCAAGGTCCACGAGACATTGGGCAGGCAGGCAGGGCGGCTAAACTTCAATCGAAATTCAGTCCCTTTTAGTACCAGGCAGCGTGGTAGTGAAACTGAAATACTTGAAGAGATCTGGGCTTGCACCGTCCTGGCTCATCTCCGTCCAATGTTCTTGACGCGATCCTCGTTAGAGTTACCGGGCTCTCATTCATGCACTCCTCTCAACGCTCATCCACTCACAAGTGACCGTGAGCCTGCGACGGCCTTGGCTCGGGGTAGGTATGGTTTGACGGGTGATGTGCACTGAGTGACACGCGCGGCGGGGTTGGGCAAACTTGTCAGAGGAATTCAGTTTGCAACGGTCTTCCGTCCCTCCCATTCGGGAGTGGCTGAGGGCAAGAATGTTCCAAAGAACCCCAGAAGGGCAGACGACCTGAACAGGCGGTAGGCCCGGGATGGTTAGTTGAGGATCCAGGCGAATAGCATAAGATACGACCACAGAGCCTCCCCTTTTCTCTTGCAAACTGACTTATCCGCGACGATGGAGGGAACAGGACATTGCTCGCATGCCCTATTTGGGTATTCACGGCCACAATGGCATCCTTGGGGATCCCTGCCGATCAGCTCCAAGCATGATTGCATGCATGAGTGGCTTCGACAGTGAGTGGGACGAGGGTTGGGTGTGCGGGGACCCCTTTGCGGCCGGGGGCGATAACTTTCGAAGCCAATGGTCCCCACGGTGCTTGCGAGCCCTGGAGGATAGACAGACTCGACTGACGACTCGTCGAAGGGTTCATTTATTTAGCGGCGGGATCAACGAAAGGGGAGCGATCCTGATCGTTGGGAAGTGGAGAGGGGACGGCGGGAGACAGGCTCCTGTTTCAGAGGCGATGGCGCGCCTGGGGGAGACCTCGCATCTCTCCTGAATGTCCTGGGGGTGTGTGTGAGTGTGTGAGTGGCCGCGCGACGTCTTTCGTCTGTACTTGTCTTGGGCCCTTTTTTGTTCAACCAAGGTACCTTGCTTGAGTTGAGGCGAGGGTTAAGAAAGAGGTGCTCTTTGTCTGATGGCGTGTATAGGTATGTGTGTGCGCGTGTGGTGTGTGGGTGGACGGGATGGTATTAAACAACGAAGGGCTCCCCCTATCTGGTTGAAATACGCAGTGCTTGTCCCTCTTCTTCAACTGTCCAGTCTGAAGCATCGTCGGTTGTTTTGTTTCTTCGATTCTAGGTATGAGTCCATGAGTCCATGTCCAGATTCGTTGTACCTGACTTGGACTTACAAACCAAAAGAGCAAGTCGATTTAAATTAACGACGATCTCGAATACCATTCTCGGCAGTTCAGTGGTTATCGATAAGCCAAACTTGCTATCGAATCCCGGCGCCTGCAGCGGACGAGCGCTGCCAACCGACTTAGCGAGCCACTAGAATTGTCCGAAATGACGTCCACCGCCGACCGCCCTCAGGGGGCGCGCCCACTATCGGGCGCCAGTCTGCCCGGCAACGTAGGGTGCAACGAGGAATTCCCCGACTTTTGTTTACACCACGACCACCACTCGGCCGGCAGCCAGGCGTCCACATCTTCACCCGCATCCACGACCCCTACCACCCCGACCACCGCCGACCGCCCGTTGTCGTCTGCCTTCTCGACCACGTCCGAAATAACATCATCCCCCGCCTCTTCTACCGCCTCCTCACGAGTCCGTACAGACAGCGGAGCCAGCACCAATACCACTTGCTCCCCCAGCCCGAGAAGCAGACGAGACAAGACCGAGCTACAGGCCGCCCGCCTCCAGAGATCGGGGAGCAGCAACCTCGCCCTCACACGCAAGAGCAGCGTAGCCAAGAAGAACCGATTTCGTTCCGCCACCGGCTCCTCGCCCGCATCCGCCCTCGCCGCCGTTGAGCCGCCGCATGATCAAGGCCTGACGAGGATGGCGTTTGCGGAACAGCAGAAATGGATCACGGTCCAGCAAAAGACCTTTACAAAATGGTACGACGGACCCCTTTAAACTCTTTGCGGGAGGGGGAGCGGAACATCGACAACCACTCCCACCCCCCGCCCCCAACCTGGCAGTTTATCTGCTGGGTGCTACAACGATCATGAACTGACTTTTGCGTTTCTTTTAATAATAATAGGATGAACACCAAATTGGAGGCTCGCTCGCTCGAAGTAAAAGATCTCGTGACTGATTTGAGCGACGGTGTAAGTTGAACCCCTATTTTCCCCCATTGGTTTGCGGGGTTCGCTTGGCTAACAGATTTCTTCTTGCCCAACAACAGGTCCTCCTCATCCACTTGCTAGAATGTCTATCCAATGATACCCTCGGACGCTATGCCTCCAAGCCAAAACTCCGCGTACAACGATTCGAAAATGCAAACACGGCGCTCGATTTCATCAAGGGCCGCGGTATCCAAATGACCAACATTGGTGCCGAGGATGTCGTCGACGGAAACAGAAAGATCATTCTTGGCCTGATATGGACGCTGATTCTGCGCTTCACCATTAGCGACATCAACGAAGAGGGCATGACGGCCAAAGAGGGACTGTTGCTGTGGTGTCAAAGAAAGACGGCCTGCTACGACGAGGTGGACGTCCGCGACTTCAGCGGCAGCTGGAACGACGGACTCGCCTTTTGTGCCCTGTTGGATATCCACAGACCAGACCTGATCGACTACGACGCACTAGACAAGTCGGATCGCCGCGGCAACATGCAGATGGCCTTCGACATTGCGCACAAGGAGATTGGCATTCCTAAGTTATTGGATGTCGAGGATGTGTGCGACGTTGCCAAGCCTGATGAGAGGTCGCTGATGACATACATCGCCTACTGGTTCCACGCCTTTTCTCAAATGGAAAAGGTGGAAAATGCAGGACGCCGCGTAGAAAAGTTTGTAAATAACATGGCCGGTGCATGGGACATGCAGAGCGCGTACGAAAGGCGGATGAGGGAGCTTCTGAGGCAGATCAAGGAGCAGATTGAAAAGTGGCAGCAGGCCACATTCGAAGGCACATACGCCGACGCAAAGGCCCAGGCGAACGAGTTTGCGGCGTACAAGCGAGGGAAGAAGAGAGACTGGGTTGCTGAAAAGAGCGAGCTCGCCACTCTGTTGGGCAACATCAAGACGAAACTGGGCACATACAGACTGCGGCCGTATGACCCTCCACCAGAGTTGTCCCTCGAGACGATGGAGAAGGACTGGGCCGGCCTGTCACAAACGGAGATGAAGAGGGCGCAGTTGATCAACGAGACCATTAGAGAGTGAGTGCCCCTGTATGCGATCTCACTCATACCAGTACTAACCCTTGGGCAGCATCAAAAATGCATTACGCAAGTCGTTCGCCGACAAGGCCAACGACTTCGCTATGGCGTTGAACACGATGCAGCTGGCAATCTCAGGCTTGGACGGCGACGTCGAGGACCAACTCCACCATGTCCGCAAGCTCAGCGACAACCTGCCGCCGCTGGACAAGTACCTCGACACCATCGCCGCCGTGGACGCCAAGTGCCAGGAGGCCAATATCGAAGAGAACGACTTCACAATCTACACCTACGACGAGCTCGTCTACGAGCACAGCCTCGTCAAGTCGTCGGTGCAGAAGAAGCTCGCCTTCCTCGACAACCAAATGGTCGCCCGCAACATGACCAACCTCACGCCCATCCAGCTCGAGGAGTTTGAGTCCGTCTTCCGCCACTTTGACCGCGACGACACCAACTCGCTCCAGGAGCTCGAGTTCAGCGCCGCCCTCGCCTCCCTGGGCCTCGTCTTCTCCGAGGACGAGATGCACGACTACTTCATGGACACGTCGCACGGCCGCGACCACGTCACGTTTGAGCAGTTTATCCGCTTTATGGTCGACGTCACCGAGGACCAGAACACGGCCGAGCAGGTCTTCCAGTCCTTCCGCGAGGTCGCCGACGGGAAGCCCTACGTTACCGAGATGGACCTCCGCCACTCCCTCGTGCCGGACGAGGTCATTGACAAGCTCATTGAGATTATCCCGCCGCACAACGGGCCCGATACGTCCGAGGATAGGGGCATGCCGCAGTACGACTACATTGCATTCATGGACAAGCTCATCAGTGACGAGAAGCAGGGCGCCACGGGCGTGCCCAGCGGCGTCTTGCAGGAGCGCACGAACCGGGCTAGTATGCTGCCGCCCAAGGAGTCCAAGATGAATGGGAACCACTGAGGGGACGAGAGGGCAGTACATATAAAAAGAAGTAAAATTCAAGTAAACCAAGGAAAAGAGAATCACGGGTGGGAAAAGGGGGAAGATTTTGCAGGAAAGTAAAACAGTAAAAAAAAGAAAACAACCAACACACGAGCAAAAACCTCCACGGGCAATGGTCGGATCCATAAGAGGGGGTGGCGGTCAATAGGTGGCAGGCTTTTTTCTCTTCTCTCAAAAACACAACCCAACCAGGCAAATTTCCTTTTATTCCTCTTTTAAATATAACGGCACCCCATCAAGTAAGCAGGCAGGCAGGCAGGCAGGCAACGCCAGGCACAGCAGAGACAAATAAAAACAAATCTTCAACGACTATTCAGCATGGATGTTTTCGTTCTCATGCCCGTCTGTATATGATATACCGCGCGGCCATGATGAGGTCTATCTTTATCTTGGCATGCTGACCTACCTTAGTATATATATAATGCGTGAAATCGCCGACGGTCTCCTACATGTTGTTAGAGCCGGCCATGACTTCGCGCTTAAGTTTTTTTTCTTCGCTCGCAGGCCAGGTCGAGGGCGTCGTTGCGCTTGGCAGGCAGGTTTGCTTGAATTCGTGACTCCCATCCGAGTAGCACCCACCATGCTTTCGTCGTAATGTGATGGGTGCCTTCGTACGTAACATCTCCGCCCTTGTGCTCTATTTTGAATTATTCATAGGCGGATAGAGGGGCAGTAGGGTCGGACAGATATAAGTTACTCATCACCCCTTCTGAAAGTGTGGTATCTATGTATTGACGACATCTAGTAGTTTGATGGGATACGCTCGTTTCACCCTCTCGCCAACTTCACTCTTGGAGGAACTTCGCGCAGACGGTCCCACGTGGAGAATATCTTTTCCATTGTGTAGTGTGTGTATATTTGTACCTCTTTGTGTGTATTCGGCCTTCTCTCGAACACCCTCCAAGTCCGGATGTTGCCATCCCTCTCCCTGCTTGGTACGGACCTCAAGTTCGGGAAGAGCCATCCTCGCCCAGAATGGCTTGCCAGACTTTTGTTTGCAGAAAACAGTAGTATAAAAAATCAAAACGCCATTGTCCAGTATGCTTATCCATATCCCACAGGAATCCTACAAATGAGTGCAGCAAGCTTTGTCTAGGCCGTATCTTATCTCTTCACGTTTCTTCTAAACCACCTCCCCCCTCGTTTCCTCACTTGGACCCCTCAAAGGCTCCCATGTCCTTGAGTGTAGTAGCCAGCCGTCGGTAGTCGCGCAGCAATTCGAGAACCTCGCCAATCTTGAGGTCGCCGGGGTTCTGCATCTCCATGAAGCGCTTGTTCGGCGGGGTGATCTTTGGTATCTGTTTGGGCGGCAACGCAGCTGCAATATCCGGGAATGCCTACGACGGTCAGTGTTACACGGTGTTCATGTTTGTGATTAGAGTACATACGCTTGCCAGGTCGCCGCCGTCAGCTACCTTGGTAGCCGGGCCATCCTTGGCCACGTCCTTGGGTGCTTCTTTCGCCACAATGGGCGTGGATGCGGTCCGGCTCAAACCTCTGATCATGCTCATACCAGAGAACCTGGAGAACGAATTGCCAAAGTTCCTCACTGAGTCAAGAGGGTTGGTTGCGTTTCCAGGAGAAGGTGTCGGCAGATCCTTCTCCCCTTCTTTGGCAAAGAGCACCTTCCTCGAGCTGTTGACGCTTCGCGAACTATCTGCGCTATGGTCTCGACTGACCTTGCGTCCACCAATGAGGTTTAGCACCTTGTCCTCGCGGACCGGGGGTCGGCGAGTAGATTCGGCCTCCTCTGTGCCATGAACCGAGCTGGCACCGCTGACAGACCCTTCCTCCTCGGGAGGTGGGGTGCTCATCAGCTTTCGAGCATCATCGAGCGTCTTAGGCACGACGAGCCCCTGGCCTGATTCGGTGGGAGTTCCCTGTGTCTCGCGCAACTTGCCGACCAGAAACTTGTAGCTATCGCCCAAACTCGTCGAGATGGTCTTTATATGCTGATCAGCTGTGTTGAGCACGGCGTCACTTGCGGCACCAATGGCCTGGGCAGGCGTGTTGACAAGCTCGCTCAGTCTTCTATTCCGAGCTTGAACCGCAGCACGCAGCCCGGCTGATGCGGAGGGCGACGCAGGCGGTCTCGCTGGCGTGGCATTGCCAGAATCGGTGTCCACCGACGGATCCGCCGTTACCGTCAGTCCAGGCGGGAACGCCGGAGGGAATGTCTCAGCCCGCGGAGTACCCGGCTGGCTCATACCTCTGGCAGGACCCTGGGGCAACTCATCGGCCCTCAGTGTAGACAGATCGACCGTCTCCAAGAAGCTGATGGCTGCTTCCAGGTTCGTCAAGCAGTATGCAGCCTCGCCCGTCAATTTCGGCTCCCATCTAAAGTGCTGAATAAAGTGCAGGTCGCTAATAACGTTGAGATGTTCAGGAGGAAGCGTGATGAGCGTGAAGATGAGCATAGGCATAATCTCATCTGCAGAAGCAGACGGGTGGAATTGCGCCAGAGTCTCGACAATATCTTTGTGTGCTGCTTTCAGGTGGTGCACCTTACCAAGCGGGTATCGCTTCTCATTCATGAGAATCAAGTCCCTTCTGGCCTGCTCAAGCGATTTCTTAATCTCTTCGACCTTTTCCGCAGCGGCTTCGGGCGTCTGAGATGCATCGTCGCCAAGATCGATTCCCAGGTCGGCCGGTCCAATGCCGACCAGCGCGAGTGCCGCGGTCTTTGATCGCAGCTTTGAATCCTGCGCTTCGTCCTGGGTACTCTTGTGGCGGTAGATCTTGTCGTAAATACCTTCGCACAGTCTGCGCTCCACTGCCTCCTCGATGATGCCACGCTTGGCTTCGATTGCTTTCCGCGCCTTGTTCTTGTTAGCGAGTTCTTCGGCGGTGATCATCTGCTGCTCTGGCTCCGGTTTGGGGAGATTTTTGGGTTTATCCTTGCTTCCGAGGGAAGCCGCCTTGGCTCGAAGCCTGCTAGCTGTGGAGACCTTGGATGACGCGGACGGCGCAGGCGACGCATCCCGATTATGCCGTGTAATCAGGCTAGAGATGTGTGTGTTGACGTGGGTGGATGCGGTTTCGTAGAAACTCTGGAATAATGCAGAAACATTGTCGATGGTCAAAGGCGCGGGGTGACTTTTCGAGCTGAGAGTCTCGACGAAGCTGTACGCGATCAGTACATGACGTGAAGCCGAATGGGATGGTGCGCCATACCTGTCAGTCAGACTGACTAGCTCAATTGGAAGCTCACCCAAGTCCACAGAGCCTCGGCCGTCGAATCCATCATCGTTGTCCGTTGACGGTCTTCCGGCAGTCTCGAAAGCATCAGGACCCTCGGACTCGTCTGCTGGCTTCTGCTGGACCCTGCTGGCGACGTTCGGCGCCGTTGTCGTCGTCGTCAACGGGTCGGCCGCAGTGCCATTCTGGAATGTTTGAGCTCGTTTCGGGACTCGGAGAGGATCGCTGTCTTCGCTCTGGCGAGTAAAGGAAGGCGCCCGTATCGTGTTTGGACGAGCCGCTGGGGATTTGGAGGGCCCGGTGGACGCCATGGTTTCGACGATGCTGGAAGCCATTTTCTTGGTCAGTCCGAGATGCTGAAGATGAAAAAGAAGGGATTATCAGGCGCTGACTTGGGGCTGACAAGCAAACGTACCTGATCTGATGTTGTCAAGGCGGCATTAAGTAGTGGAAGCGATCTTGAAACCCGATATCAGAGGAAAGAGATCCCTGGTTGTGGCACGCGGGACAGATTTATGCCATAAATGGAGTGGGAGAACAGGGATAATGGCTCGTAAGATGGCCCAAGATGGCAGTTATGTTTCTATTCGCATCTCTAACAAAATGATGTCAGTGCCGTAGATGGGTGCACGGGGTGCCTTGTGCCAGCGCAAAGCAAAGAAGAGGGCGAGGACGGGGCGAGAGCAATGAGGTTTTGAGGTTTGTCGGTCTTTGAGCAGCTTGGGAATAGGCCGTTTCCATGAAGGGAAGGTAAGGTAACGCAGGTAACCAACCGAGCATACCAGCTATGGTCGGTAAGGAAGACAAGTTGACAAGGTAGCTCCCGCCATGCCCCCGCTCAAGTTTTATTGGAAGCCCACAGGTGTCATCTGCAGACGGATCCGACCTTCAGTGCATGCATGTGCTGGGGGGCATGAGGAGGACTGACGGCGGATGTCTTAGCCTCAGGGCCTCATAGCAGCTGTGTGTAGCTAAGGTAGGTACAAATGCTCTGTACTCTGGTCTTTGGGGCTTGGTCTTGATTCCTGGATTCCAATCAGTGATGGGCCCATTCTGGTACCTTGCACAACGTACCTTATTCCGAAGCATAAATGGTGCCTTGGAATGTCATCAATGTTGGGCGTTTTATCCATGGCAGCAACCCGGACGGGTTGCGACGGGATCGTTGAGTAGCCGAAGGTCCGCTGAAGATGCCCCTCGATGGTCCCCCAAAGTGGTGTGGAACGGTGGATGCCAGGCACCAGGCAGCTTCGGATACAGAAGACATGCGCGCTATCTGAGGGGACATTGGTCACATGCTGGTGCGGGTATCCCTGATTGCGCCTTATCGGGGGACATGAGACTATGGGTACCCATCCAGGGCGACTGTTAGGCCGGCTGCAGTCCTAACAATACAAGGTCTTAACGCAGATCCGGAGGCGGAGACCTTTTGGCGCAGGAAGTGGGTTATCGGGCCTGATCTGTGCACCCTCCGCGAGTCGGAGGCAACGTAAACAGCGCCAGCGTCGTCCACCTGATGCTGTCATAACTTGGGGCACGTTGTCTGCGCATCTCAACGTCGGCATCATTGATCCTCCTGTACTCATCTACCTCCACGCGTCGCCTTCCGCGAGACCCAAATCCTCGAAACTTTCGCTCCCTACTCTTCGTCAAACATTATTCCTGAATGCGACTTTTTTCTTGCGTCTTGAGACAACCATGAGACTCAAAATAGGGCGTGGAGGCCAGTGTAGCTCTGCTGGCAGGGTTACGGCACAGCT